TAAAATTTACAGTGCACTCATCTAAATATTATTAATAACTATCTGTGGTCCCAATCTGACTTTGCTGTTGGGCATATGTAAATGTTTAAATAAATAAATAAATAAGAGTATTAAAAATAAAATCAACTGAAATCAAAAGTGATTATTTGAAAATATTTTTCAACTATTCAGAGCCGTGAATATTATTTTTAAAGGAGATATTTAATATTGCTAACTTTTAACAATGAAGTCCTTTCACTTTTTAAGAAGGAGCAACTGAGTGTCTTGGTTAATTTTACTGCACTAATTAATAAATTTCACTGGTAAATGAAATACTTGTTAGTTTTAATTGTAATAAAGTTTGTTGTATAAATAACAGACTATTGTTAGATGCAATTCTCTTTTGTTTAATACTCGACAGTTAACAGTTATTTTTTTTATTCTTCACGTCCAATCGTTTGGAAACAACGTTTTATTCGTATTTTTAGTGTCTAATTAAGAAAGTAATTACAGCGGATGGAGAATTTTTTAAAGTGAATGAATTACATCAAGAATACAATCAATCAGTTTTCTGAGTGTAAGATGTGTGTTTTTTTTCGGTGAACAATGTTATATTTCGTTTCTTATTATAATTAAACCGGTTTGTAACAATGTGTTTATATGATAGAAAATTGAATCTTTTTAAAGATATTTCTTAATGTTATATAATTACTGTATTTTACAAATATGAATGATATAATACAATAAATGCAACATAAAAACCTATTTTATCTTTTATATTCTATACAAAATAGCATATTTTGAAATTCAATTGAATTTTTAATTCAGTACATTTTAAGGCTGGGCTTTAGTTGAACATAACATTAAAAATAAAAAATGATATATTTATTTTATACTATAAACGACAATTGCAAAAATAAAATTCTTTTATGGTTGAGCTTTACTAACCTCAAATCACCTCAAATTTTGCACGTCAAACCATGCATTCACGTAAAAAATATTTAGGAATATTTAGAAAAGTGGCATACATATCGGAAAACAAAAATTTTTCGTACTAGTGTAATAATAAACGTAGAATAAATAATTTTTCAGTGAAGCGTTCACGACAAGTGCATTCGCCATGACACCTCGAAATTCACTAAAAAAACTATTTATTCTACGATCATTATAACACTTGTACTATCAATCTTTCTTTCCCAATGTGTATACCACTTTTCTACATATTCTTACATATTTTCCACATGAAAAAAACAAATAAAAAACGCACAGTTTGACGAAAAAAATTTGAAGTGATTTGAGGTTAGTAAGGCCCAACCTTAATTCTTTAGATTTAAAAAAACTATCTATATATTGGTTGCCCGAGAAAAAATAGAATAGGTTAACATTGATCTACTTAGATCTATTTTTTGGCACAATTAGATCTACTTCGTTCTGTGTACATCTGTTTTGATCATTTTAGATCTTCTGTGATCTCTGTAGATGTATTAAATTTTCCTTATCATCGAGATCAATGGAGATCTCCATAGACATACAGTAATTTGTGTAGATGTACAGTGATCTCACTAGATCACTATTTATATAGATTTACTTAGATCAAATTTTCTTTAGTTTTTTAGATATAAGTAGATTAAATTAGATCTAAAAAATGGCGAAAATGTGGATCTGTATATGTAGATCTATTTTATTTTTTTCGGGTGGCACATGAAGTATGACTTACTTATAATAAATACTTATACTTATAGAAATCAATTTAATTGCCTATTTTTCTCCGTCAGTATTTAAATCATTTCCATTTCAATCATATGAAGTGACAAAATATTCCCCCGATTATTTTAATTGACTCTAATTTACTGATATTGATAACAAGTAAACAAGCTAAAAATCCTATTAAAATAACGTAAACTCGTTCTAGAACAATGAAACCAAAATAAAAAAAGAGAAAGAAATCAGTGCAGAATAAATATTTATCGATTTGCAGTCATTCTCAGTCAGTATCTTATTTTGCCCTGTTTGTCTTATTTAGCATGTTTATTCAATCCCGAAACAAAGATAAAAAGCGGAAGTGAAAAAAAAAATTGAACAAAAGAGAGGAAGTGTGAGAAAGTTGCGCAAATATGTGACTCACCGGTCGCCGATAGGAGCGCCACCAAGTACCGTGGTGACACCGCCAAAAGGGGTAGATTCTTGTGTTAGGTATCATGTAGTAAATCACACCAACAACAATACCTATTCCGCCGAAAAAAATGATAAAATCCTATCACTTTTCATCAACAGAACCATCAATATTAAATGACAAATTAATGTTTACAGATTGTGATAAACAATCTGATGAATAAAAATGAATAAATAAGAAACGTACAAGTCACACAAGTACAATAGAAGTGGACAGAAACGGCCAATGATCTGATTGGCGCACGCTACGATGGCAGACAAGTGAACTACATTGAACCTTTTAAAACAATCGATTATAATATTTGTGAAATATAATATAACACTGTCACTAGACTTAGCACAATCGTGAGAATCCATTGGTTTCATTTCCAAGATTACCGAAAGGTAAAATTCAAGAACTGTATCACCTTAATAAAGAAAGCTGAAGGATTAGTTATCAAGAAGAACAAACAGTACCATACCTACTCTCCAAGAATTTGTTAAAATATTTTTATTCAACTCTTTTAGCTTGGTGGTTTGTGTCAGTAACCATCTCTTTTGGAATTTTCAAATTAAAATCCATGCTATAGCATGTCATTGCGACTATATATAGTGACAATCTGTTGAATTACACTAAAATATAAATAATGAAAGATAAATTAAATTAAAATATAATTGATATATTTTACTAAAACATAAATAATCAAATTATTCTTAATGTACAAGCGTGACTGAAAGAGTTAAACAATTCCAAGATCCAACAACATCAAACAAAGAAAACCAAAATACACTTGCAGTATAATTTGACTCGAAATTTCAGTAATGTAACGAGTGAAAATTAATTTCCATTGATAAGTAAAACGAAGAAAATATGATTGGGTATTGTGCTACAATATCAGGTCATAAATCTTTTGATTTAAAAATTATTTTAATAAATATAAATGTAAACATGAATGATTATTTTATCTGTTAGAATATTTGTTAAATATTTGTTTATCAATTTGTACGTAGAATTAGTATTCAATTATTATTTATTTTGAACATACAGAATTAAGTGTGATTCTTTTTGTTTTTGCATAAATACATCTTTTTAGACTTTCCTTTCAACATATCATAGTGTAATCTTTTGGACTTAATAAAAATAAAACTCTCTATAATATTGGGTTAGTAGTAGAATAGTGACACACCTAGAATGGCTTTTAATGTTATATTTTTATTTAATAGCCAACCAACTTTGATCTCTAATGCAATCATCGTGTGCATCATTGACTTGTGTCCATCATCAGAGCAGAGACATTGTGGTAACATCAACAATCTATAATGCTTAAATTGTTAAAGTATTTCACTATTCTCTTGCCAATAATTTATAATTATTACTTCATCATTATATACACTTGATGATAATTTGATCAGTAAACTGAAATATTTACTAAATTCATTTCAAAAAAATAAGTATTGTTTTTTTATTTGTCATAATTGTTTTCTTATAATTGATGATCATTTATTCATCAGCCAACATCTTAAATTCATTTCATAACAATAATTAATGAATTAAAAATCTTTAGCACAAAAATTGGGAGTCATACTTGTGCACTAACATCAAAATGTATACAAAGTTGGACTCAACAATCTTTTTTTCTTCATGTACATCTTCGATGACAAACTCTAGATATTTATGGGGGAAACAACTCATGTTCAAAGTTCCCTCTCGTTTGCCATAAATAAACCGGTAACCCTAATTACTAAAATTGCTAAAGATAAAAATAAATAAATGACATTGGTGGATGTCAATGAATTATTTCTTATCTTATAATTTTTATTGAGGATCCTAAGCTTGTCAGCAGAACCGCAATTAGATTATAAAAGGATTTGAGACCTTACTTACCTCAAAGAGCCCTTGGAGAATTGTTCCGGAAACGTTTTCATCCAATGATAATGGCTTTAGAAGCTCACAAGAAGCTACAGGCTGTCTGGATGGTAATATCATTGTAGAATAGGCACTGAAAGAGTTCAAAATAGTTTAATAGCTAGACTTTAGTGTTTATTCTTATCGTTTATAACATTTTTATTATGAAGTAATATTTTTATAGATGATTATTAATAATTTGCCGGTTGAGAGCTATGTTGTTTTATCAAATAAAGCTCTAACTGTTGGAAAATAATAAATTTGTTGACTTCTCATACCTTCAATACACTTCAAACGTTTAATAAATAATTATAAATAAACTGCAACTTTTTGTAATGATTATTATTGTAGAAAAATAACTGAAATAACATTCATTTTTATAAAAAAAAGTTGTTAGACAACTACATTGCAAAATAATTGTCATATTTTTAATGCATGTTTACAAATAATGCATAGCTTTTGTCTAACATCATTTCGAAAATCATATTTTTCTGTTATTTCGCATTTATTGTGCCATAAATTAGCTGAAATAAGCATATTTAATTACATTAATAATCATAAAAATTACCAATCGATTATAATTCGATCGTGATTTAAGAGCATTAGAAGCTGGAAAAGTTTCAAGACATTTTATGCAATTATACTGAATAAATTACATTAACTAACCTATACAATTGTTAATTAATGTTAGTTGTATAAAATTTGAGTAAATCAACACTAAAAACGCGTGTAAAAAAGGTTTTTCTTTTAATAAAAACACTCACGACACGCACACACGGCAATCCGACGCCGACAGTCAGCCATGTTTGATGCCATCTTGTGTTGTTAAAATGACTGTCTTTTTAAAAATAACTTTACTATCGGTAATAAAGAATCCATGCAAGAAAAAAAACAGTCGATAACAAAGAAATTGATTTTGATGTCGAGGTTGTGGTAATCAATCGATTAATCTCAAACGATAAAATATAAAATGGCGATAGTATCAAATAGTGAAGTAATATAAAGTGATTTTTTTCCTGAAAATTTAATTAGTATGTAGCATGGAGAATTAATTAATCAATAAATTATGGTAATTTGAAGTGATAAACTAATTTTTTATTTAATCATATATTAGAAAACGAGTGTTATAAAAATTTTTTGTCATATACTGTACGATTGTAGGATTCAGAACATCTCAAACCCTCTTCCAGTGACAAATACGATATGAGTGAAACTGAGGAAGTTGATACCTCAACATCAGATGACAATGAACGTCCTTCTGGCGAAAGATGGGCCCCAGTTGGAGCTAATGATGGTGATAATGAATTTATTGATGAATACAAATGTGCAACCACTACAGAATGGTAATTGTGAATCAATATTATCCATTACATTCCTAAAATTAATCAACTAATTAGAAGCTTATACAACTATATTCTAATAATATTCTTGGTTTTGGTAGCTACACATCAATTATTTTACAACCTTAATCAATCAATAATTAAGTTAAATTTAACTAATAATAATTATAAATATATTGATTAAACACTTACTAACTCACTGTTTTCTAGTCATTCATATGATACTGACAGACTTAAAATGCTGGAAGAGGAACAAGAAGTACTTAATTCATCTTTAATTGCACTAACAACACACTTTGCCCAGGTAGTAATCCTATTAATCATTTATCAATTGGAAATAAGTAATGAATTAGCAGTAAAAAAAATTTTAAATACTGAATTTGTGATAATAGAGTAGTTATAATAATTTAGTCATCAAAGTGGTGAAGTAGAAATGTTTCAGCATGGCTGAAAACACGAATGAGATGTTTTTGGAGTTGCTTAAAATGATTAGTGATAGTAAAAACAGTACTCCAAACCCGTAGAAAATTGGTTTTCAACAGTTTCATATTTTTATCATTATTTTAAAGTGAAACTCTGAAAGATGGAGGATAAAACTTTACGACCTTTTGATATAAAACTGAAAAATCTTTAATTTTCATTCAAAGTCTTCATACTTTCTGTAGAATACAAGATATCATAAATAAAGATATTGAAAATTAATTAAATATTATTTTTCTGTCTTAAACCATACGGAATAGGAGGAAAAATTAAAAGAGTTTTTAAATTTAAAATTAAAAGCTCTTCAATTTTTATTTAAAACTGTTTTTCGTATTTCCAATAATTTACGAGATAATCGCAAAAAGCCGAAGATGGTGACTAGTTTTTTTTAATGATTTCATTTCTTGCTCAGGTTCAAAGAACTTTTTACTACCACTAATTATTTTTAGTCGCTTTGAAAATATTCTCATGCTAGAAAATCTTTTTTTGCCAATATTATGTTCAGACTACAGAGAATATTTAATACCAAAAAAATATTAAATGTTTAATAAACAGGTACAATTTCGTCTTCGTCAAATAGTTGATGCTCCAACAGAAGAGAAGGAAAATTTACTAAAAGAGTTGGAAGAATTTGCATTTCGTGGTATACCTGATGTCTCAAATATTTTAACGATTAAAAGGAGATCATCTTCTGCATCTTCAGAGAGATATTGTAATAGTTACAATCAATTAGATGATGTTGAAGAAGAAGCTAAAATAGCTCAGCAACGAATAAAACAACGGGAATTGATTAATCAATTAAAAACACAATTGGAGGACTTGGAACGCTATGCTTATGAAACAGATGGTCAAGATCTACCTCAGAGTGTTATTCTCGAACGGCAGAATTTAATTATCAGTAAATAAAAATTAACATATCTTAGACTTAAATCATTTTTCAAGTTTAAATATTGCAGATGTTATAAAATATACTCATTGTTTTTCTTTGTAGATCATCTGAAGGAAAAATTAAATTTTAATGTCGATGATTTATGCAAGTTGTCTATTGATGATTTACGATGGCAAGTGGATCATGCTATCAACGAGGTAAATACTTTTATTATTTTATTTATAAAATTCCTCAAGTGGTAATGAAGATGTAAAAAAATGAAGTATCATTTTTTAGAGTTATCATAAAAATGTAGAATAAATTGATAAAATTTGATAACAATAAAGTATTTATAAAATAATTTTTAATACAATAAAATGAGATAAAGATTATTAGTTTATAAAATATAAGTCTAAAAAAAGATTTAGCAGGTTTTCAATGAAAGGTTTTAACGATAAATAAGATAAAAAATTGAAATAAAACAAATTATTATAAAATTTTCGATTAAATTTTACTTTTAAAGTTCTAAAAAATAAGATAATCTTTTTGTTTAAATAAAGTATTTCATTTTTATTCATTAATATTACCACTTAATAATGCCTCAATGTTATTTCTTATTTCATTAAATCTATTTCACAATAATCAACAGATTGTGAGTCCTTTGAAAATGAAAGAGCATTTAGTAAACCAACTGAAAACCCAAGTTAACGACCTGGAGCGATTTATTCACTACCTGCAAGGCGAGATAAGCACGGAAACATTGGCATGCACTTGTGCCTGTCCTGTGCATACAAATGGCGGTGGAGTGTCTAGTAAATCCAAGAAATGTAGTCAAGAAGCTGAACAGAGTGGTGCTAAAAATATGGCGACATTCAATACCGTAAAAAAAGTCATTACTCTGCTGCATCTGTATTTGGTTTCTCAACTAGGTTGTGGTAGTGATCGGCTTCGAAGAGATTTAAAGAAAAATTCAACAGTTCCAGCTTGGAGAGATCTCAGAACGCGATTGGATATCGCAGTAGAACATGTGATTGAAAGCGCTGTTGAGTTTGGGTGTGATGATGATAATGTATTTGAAAGTGTTTATGGATCTGATTCGGAATCAGTGAAGATTCATTCGAGTGCTAGACTAACGACAGCAGTGAGGAAACATCTAGCTATTTGTATACGAGACTTGATGCAACATGGCTTGATGGCTGATGTTAGCTCTAGTACCAGCGTTGTGCCATTTATTGGATGTTTTCCTCAACGAAAAACTGTCTCAAGTCATACTATGCACGCTTGGGAACTTATTGTCAAGTATTATGAAATAAAAAATGGCCATTTATACATTTCTAGTCCAGCTCAAAAATTGTCACAGAGCTTTAATTTAGATCTGGTCAGCGAAAAAAATTTATCACCAAAGCAAGTACGTATGAAGAATAAATATTTTTATCATAGTGCTTCGAGCTGATGGTTATTATTGACCGCAATGTTAACAAAATTCTGTGATGATTGAAAATGACAGCTTAGTAGTTTCAATCTGAATTAATCTAATTAATGAAATAATTTTCTTATTCAGTTTCTATAATTTCTAATTCATTACTTATTAATGATTATCTAATATAAAGTCATCCACTAAGTGATGATAATTATTTACTATATTCATTTGTAAGTGAGAATTACACTAATTGGTGAACAAATTCACTTGGAAAAAAATTCTAGATAATTCTAAGCTCAGATCAAAGTTATGATATTTTTATTATGAAAATGATTATTTATTTAATTTTAAATCAAAATGTATTTATTAAAATTCAAAAAATTATCTATCTATAATATAAAAAAGGTTAGGGATTTAAAAAAGAATTTTAAATTTTAATGAAGCTCATTAATAACTTGGATCTTTTTTTTTAATACTAAAATTCATTGAGTATTTCTTCTTTTTAATAATTTAAATTATTCAATCAGTCTTTAAGAATAAAAAAAATGAAGAAAATTATTAAGACAATTATTTCACTATCATGAATGAAAGCAAACTAAATCAAAATATGTCGAAATGTTTTAAGTAATAAAGAAAAGTATTTGCAATAGTAGATAATAAAAATACTTCAATGAAAAAGGAAATCATAGAACTTCATAAATTTAATGAAAATATTTGATTAATAGATTTTAATTAAATTTTTATCGATATGTATCTTTTGCAGAGTTTATTAATCACTATTGGAAATATCATCGCTACACATACACTTTACAAAAGAAGTTACAATGCTCATTTCAAAGCTTTCGTTTGTGCTGCACTAAAGTAAGTATTTATTTAAACAATAAATAACTTATCTAAGAGGTTAGAAAAACAATTTTTCATATATTAACAAAAATAATATTTTTTTTTAGTGCTAATAAATTGGTTATATGGCTAAGACTCGTATTACAATGCCAATATCTACTAGAAAATCACTACACGTCATGGAGTTATGTTGTTAAAACTGGTAAGAAATAAATAAACATTATTTTTTATTGTAAATAAACAATAAATTTATAAAAGTAATTTACTGTAATAAAATATTTTGCAGGATTTCAAGATGCTTTTCACACTCTAGACCGTTTAACAACAATCCATTTCGATCTTCCTGTCGATTTAGCAGTGCAACAATTTCAAAATATTAAAGACGCTTTTTGATAGTATTTTACATATTATCATTCCATTTTTTTTTTTAGATCTGAATCATTAGTCATTAATTGAAAAGAATTTTTTTCTCTTAAAAAGCTCTAATTGTACAAAATATTAGTTATTTTATTTTTATTTATACTCGTTTTATTTACAATACATTTTGAATTAGATATAATAACTTAACACATCATCATTGTTGAATATATACAAGAGTTTAATTATTAATAATTATTACTGTACACTTAGTAATCAAAAAAAAAAAGAAAGTACTTACACAAATAAATGTTGATTTATGGATGAAAAATTTTTAAAAATAAATTTTTTTGTTTACTTCATCTTGCCGCCGCCATGTTTGTTTATCATTGTTACCCTACATTTTTAAATCCTGAACATCACTACAGGTGGCGCGTGGTGGTAATTTTTTGCGCCGCCAGTGGAATTTAAAAAAACAAACAGTTTGAGGTCGTTATTTATCGTAGTGATTCGTCCATCTTCGTGAAATAAACCACGCCCATTAAGAATTTTAGAGTAAGACAGCAGTAGTCGGTTATAGAGCAGCCAAATGAACGTTTGTGTCTGCTTATGTCGTGTATAGTAATGGGCTACGTGTGTTAAAAATTCATTATCAAGTAAGTTTACTATAAATAGCGTGATTATTGGGTATCTTTAACAGTGATTGAGGTGTTATTTTATATGATTTATGTGGGTGAATAGTGTAGATAGAAATATTCCACATCACACACGTGCCTTGGATTAAAAAAATATCTTTTTGTGTCCTTAATTTTTTGTGTTTAGTTGGTTAGTGTTTCTCAATTTACTACGAATTAACTCAATAGTGGATAACTTTAGCGGCAAATAAAGACGATATTATTACTTTGGGTAAGTTCAAAACATATTATCATATCATATCAGTAAAAGCCATTAAATCTAGAGATCATAAAATAATCCATACTTGTTTACTATGTTTACTTATAACAAAAATATTTCGAATACGTCACTACATGTTGCAGGTAATTGGCTATAATTTATTTCATTCTTTTACCGAACCTCAAAAATGTAATCGATGGAATGTGCAGGAAAATAAACACACCGACATATTTTTATTTATACTATTTCCAATAAAATTGTATTTATTTATTTTTTAACATCTTCATTTATTTGTTGGTAATTAAACAAGTGTTTCTTCTTCTTCCGGAAGAGAAAACTACTTCTCAAAACGTCTCCACGTTATTTTTTAACAGGTTTCCAAGCGAAAGTGAGTCATTTCGATTATTCCCTTTTTTTTTCAATCAGTGAAATAATAATAATTATTTGTTGCTAATTTGTCAGGTTATCAATGACATTATGAAAAAATTTATCGACTTATCAAAGAAAGTAATGAAAAGTTCTTGATAAACAAGTTTTTCTAACTTGTTTTTAATGAATTTTTCTCCTGATTTTTAATGATAATCTTGAAGTTGTCTTATAAATAAGCAATAACAAGACTATATTCATAGAATTTAAAATGCAATTAAATAATTTATTTATATTCAAAATATTGATCAGAAAGTATAGTAAATCAATTATAAACCTGATGGAAACTGTCAATCCATTAATTAGATTTAATGAGAGATATTGAAGATCGTCTTCCACGTAATTAATTATTAATCGATGGCATATCGTTGGAAACGGTTCGAGGAAATACATTTGTATGTATATATGTGTATACATATATATATGTATAACACTTTGGAGCTCAATCTTCCGGGCATTGGTCTGATCGTAAGTTGGATGTGGTACAAATTGGCGAGTGTCCAAGTTAAAACTCTCTCTCTACACTTACTTACGATGTTTCAACGCCAGCTATCACATTCCATTACACGTATTCTGTATTTTCGCTGTTTTAAATTATTGTATCTTCTTATTCACTACTCCCTCATATGGCGCATATTTGTCTTCATGTGCGCACGCAATTTAATTTTGATGCTTTATCTACGTGATGATGATAGATGTGAAATTACGGCGCCGTCTATCGATTTTTTATTGGAAATAAATAATTAACCTACTAAAATTCGTTTCAAAATCACTAGTTTTTTTTATTTATTTTTTTTTTAATTAGTTATAGTTGTATAGAGCTAGTGAAAAAATTATATTGGTAGTAAGAAAAAAAAAAGTGATATCAAATTAGAAATGATAAACGGTAGTATAAATACCGAGATTAGAGTTTTTGAAAAAGTTACATATGTACAATCATAATGATTTTTTTTTTGCTTATATTCCGAAGAGTCTTTGCTTTATCAAATAGAGAGATTAAACTTAGAGCACTTTTTTTCCCTTGATGAGCTAATTTGGGTTTTAGTTCAGTCAATGTGCAGCAGAAAACAGGGTTAATAAAAAATTTCGTGGTACAAGTCAAGACCGAGTTCATTTTATAGAGAAAAATACGCTGATTTCAATGAACTTATTCCCAGCCGAAAGTAACTCATCGGTTTATCTAGGGAATTTTTTGAAATTGATCTAGAAATTGAAATCCCGAGTTTTAATTTAGTTTTTTTTTGGTTCAAAATACTTAAGCTCATCAAAATTATTTTTAAAATGTGAATCGTGCTATTACCCATGTGTGTGTGTGAAGAATTTTTCCTAGATGATAACTTGCGAACAAATGAAAATAATTACATCATTCTTTCACCATTTGAAGTGTATTAATATCAATTAAATCCGATAAAAATTTTGTCTGAATCAGCTGAGTCGTTTTCCTGTTATTTTAATGAAATAAAAAAAAAAAAAAATCCCCTAAAATTCCCTACATATAACTATTGAAGTTTTCATTGGCAGTAATAGATATGGACTATTTCAAATATCAATTAGTTGATAATCGTCAAAGATTATCAATAAAAAATATCACAAAGTTGCTAATAGGTACCTCTAAGGCCCATTCACAGCTTGGCAATATTACTTGTGAATGAAAAAAAAAAAATATATATTCCTAGACAGTTTGTCTTGTTGAAAATAATATTTTCATAATAACATAACCACAGTGAAACATTGTTAGTAGATTTTAATCAAGAGTTTATCTAAATAATAGTGTTTTACTTTTTTCTTTATGGTAATATCTTGAATGTTCTTATGAAATGCAATTTTCTTTTGTTCCCACGAGCACATTCTAGATTTGCCGTTACAGAATATAACAAGGGAGAAATGGTTTGGTGTATTTCTCGTGTTGTATTGTCTCTGGGATTCCATTTAACTTGATACCACCATTGAATTTCTCGACAGTCCGGTTCCAGACTTGGACTTTTCAGTGGTACGGTCAATGTTCTCATGAGAAGATTCAAGGCCGCATTTCACTCGTGACTCTTTCCAGTGTCATGTCCAAGATATGTCGATGCATCTGACATTCTTCAGCTTTCCTACATCCAATCAACGAATAGCACAATTTCGACCACTTGGTATTAATTGGTGAGACATGTCAAGGACCAGTTCATTATCAGACATTTGGCCTATTTCTTCTCATCAATATGAAGGAGTCTTGAATCAATTTTGTGTGTCAATATTGATCAAAAGTGAGCCTAAGAAGTTGATGGGAAAGCAAATGGAGATGTGTGAAAAATTTATCTGTGCCAAATGCCAAATTGAAGAGTATGTGGTCTTAACGGTTGGATGATACACTCGATAGCAGGTGGAGCGAGGAAAGTTTGTAACTGGGTTACAACTGTGAGATCTAGGATCACTGATGGCTCCCACTCATAGTATGAATACTCAGGATGTCCGAATTGAATTGAGTGTCGCGATTCATCGCTTCTTCAAATTACTATTTACGGATGTTCTTTATCTGCTAACTAAGTGGACTAAATAAATCGACTATTTAAACTTAAAATGAACAAAAAAAAAATTATTGGGGTCTGAAAATACCTATTAGACTTCAGAGAAATAAAGTATAAGTTAGTCAGGAAAGGCATCATTGGTTGACTTTCACGAAAATGTACACTTTATGCTACTGGAGTTGGTTGACTACTTGAAGTACCTGATGGCTATACATGAAAACCATTTGATGTAAATATTGCTGAAAAATAATTCCATCAGTGTATGCAGTAAGTTTGATGAAATAAAAATAACAAAAATATTTATCGATATTTTAAAAATCATTAATGCATAAGCTCATGATTCTTATCGTATGATAAAATGAAAATGACAGCAGAGTGATTACCCCTTATTAATTTTTTTTGACAGTAAACAGAAGTTTTAGATTACATCTATAAATTGTATTCAGCAAAATATATTTACACAGATATATTTCAAGTGTTTATTTATAATTAAACGTAATATTTTGATTTTTTTCAATCCAAGCTTCTCAATACAACATAAACTTTTTGCATTTTTTTGAGTGACGATTATAATTATTAGTAATTATCTTTTTTTGGCAGTAAATTAAAAATTGAAATTTATCATGACCGGTATTGTAGGAAGAAGCTATCACCCTTAAACTTTTATGATTAAACAAACATCGTGAAGCATTTATGTTTCAAGTGCCAGAGAATCAATTTCGATAAAATTATTAATTGATTTTCTTGCATTACTCCATTATTACTAAGTTTTTTTTTCGTTCAAATACTATAGTCCAGTCAATATGGTTTTCAAAATGAAAGTCCGTTAAACATTAACCGATTTTGTTCATTAGGTTGTTTTTAGTGACGGCAGACATCAGTATGAATTTGTGACCACATGGCAAAATGTGCTTTTTTGTTTATAAAAAAATAGCTTTTTTTTTGTATTAAATATCTTGAAAAATACGCATCGGAGATCGAGACATAATGCGTATAATTTTTTGAGATTTTCACGAGAAAAACAATGAGACCAGTCTCAACTCTCTACGACTAATGGTTTTCGAGATATTTAATTGTTTATGTCAAAAATAGCACTGTTTTTTAAACAATTGATCGTACCTCATCAATAAATGAACTTTTTGAAGTTTTTTTTTAATCGGAAGCTACATTCATGCCAAATATGTAAACCAACTTGACATTGATTAATTGTCATTACTTTTTGAGATAAAAAAAAGAAACATGCATTATAGCAAACTCTATAAAATTTGTCAAGTCTTTCATTACATTTCTAATTTTTTTTTACTTAATTGGATCTAAAAAAAGCAATTTTTAAATTTACATAATATTGAATAATTTTTGTATTTTTATAAAATAAAACTATCAAATGCACTATTAAACATAAAGGTTGGATGTAGTTAGTAGGTTGGCATAAAGAAACTTTGCCATAAGAAGCCCCTTTCAGTATTGTATCAAAGTTCTAATACTTTTCTCTTTTGCACACAAACATGATAAATATAAATAATAAATGACTGAATGAAATACATTTATTGAAAGGATAGACTAGCTCATTAGAATGTGTATGTGGAAAAAAAAAATAAAACATTTCTTCACGATTTTAATGCCATAAATAAAACTATTTAGTCGTTAAATCAATCCCTAAGTATTTGAAAGTACTAGGGGAATAAAAAAGTTAGCAAAAGTTTAGTAATTATTGGCTAAATGACACACAATGTGACCAGACTATTCCATAAGAATCACACGTGTCCCCTAAATTGACTTATTGAGTATTCAATCTTGGATGATTACGTAATGATTGCATTTGTTTTCGAACACGTAAGCCATCAGGAACGTTTGTGAATCGATAAAAATAAAATGTGTCATCATACGGAATTCTTTTTTTGGTTAAATAAAACATCTGATAATCAGTGTAAATAAATGCGACAATGATTGTTGCCACAACAAAATGTCCTTGAAACAAAGGAAATCAGATTGGAATTTATTGAAAGTATAACATGAGTGCAACACCTACTACGCTTGAATGAATGGCTTAGCGAGTTTTAAATACTTATATGCACC